ACAAGTATACAGTAGACAAGTATACAGTAGACAAGTATACAGTAGACAGACAAGTATACAGTAGACAAGTATACAGTAGACAGACAAGTATACAGTAGACAAGTAGACAGTACACAAGTATACAGTAGACAAGTATACAGTACACAAGTATGCAGTACACAAGTATACAGTAGACAGACAAGTATACAGTACACAAGTATACAGTAGACAAGTAGACAGTCGACAAGTATACAGTAGACAGACAAGTATACAGTAGACAAATATACAGTAGACAGACAAGTATACAGTAGACAAGTAGACAGACAAGTATACAGTAGACAAGTAGACAGTCGACAAGTAGACAGTCGACAAGTATACAGTAGACAGACAAGTATACAGTAGACAAGTATACAGTACACAAATATACAGTAGACAGACAAGTATACAGTAGACAAGTATACAGTAGACAAGTAGACAGTAGACAGACAAGTATACAGTACACAAGTATATAGTAGACAAGTATACAGTAGACAGACAAGTATACAGTAGACAGACAAGTATACAGTACACAAGTATACAGTAGACAAGTATACAGTACACAAGTATACAGTACACAAGTATACAGTAGACAGACAAGTATACAGTAGACAAGTATACAGCACTAAAAAACATGTTGTTTGTTCTATCATACATTGGGTATTTGCTTTTTAAAACAAACATGTTTTTGCAAATAAAAAATGCAAAACTGNAACACAAGTATACAGTACACAAGTATACAGTCGACAAGTATACAGTAGACAAGTATACAGTAGACAAGTAGACAGTAGACAAGTATCTATACAGTAGACAAGTATACAGTAGACAAGTATACAGTAGACAGACAAGTAGACAGTAGACAAGTATACAGTACACAAGTATACAGCACTAAGAAACATGTTGTTTGTTCTATCATACATTGGGTATTCGCTTTTTAAAACAAACATGTTTTTGCAAATAAAAAATGCAAAACTGTAGCATGAAATGAAGAAAATATCTTCAGAAGATGTTTAAGCTGCATCTTATATATAACCAGCATTGAAAACTATGTAGCGAGTACTAATGCACAGATATTTGTATGTATATCCTGTAGTCTGTATGTATATCCTATAGTCTGTATGTATATCCTATATGTATATCCTGTAGTCAGTATGTATATCCTGTAGTCTGTATGTATATCCTGTATGTATATCCTGTAGTCTGTATGTATATCCTGTAGTCTGTATGTATATCCTGTAGTCTGCACAGCTCCTTTGGTGATGTATTCTGGTATACAAAATCTGATAATATTGTAGCATTGCAAGAAGAAAAAAGGGTTATGTCTTTATTTGCAAAAACTACCAGTCTTGTGAAAATAATTGTAGTTAATGAATGTAAGCTAATGAAAAAGCAGACCTGTCTGGATGTAAATTAATCACAGTCACATGATCATGTTGTTTACTGTCACATGATCATGTTGTTTCTGTCACATGACCATCTTGTTCACAGTCACATGATCATGTTGTTTACTGTCACATGACCATCTTGTTCACAGTCACATG